AAAAACGCAAACCCTCAACAGGCTTTAGGGGCACGCCATTCTTCTTCGCTAAAATGATGGAAATGCTTCTTCTTTTGGAAGTGAAAGTTTATTTCACGCAGACACAGCCATCCCAAAAGGGAATTACGCAAACTTTGGGTGATCTTCTTTACCACTACGACCCTTCGGTTGGCAGAAGAGGCATTATAAAATAAAAAAGGACCTCTTGATTCAAGGGGTCTCAATCCGTGCACATTCCGTGGGTTCCCAAATGGCCCCTACACGATCACCAAAAGATTTCTCCAGGCCATTACCGAGCAATTCGCCACACAAATATCACCTCTACTTGTTTGCATAAATGCAAAACATTCCCCACTCACCCCTTTCCCTCAGAGATGAGTGTCATGAGGTCCAGTAGTCAAGAATAAGATTTATCATATTTTTTTTTTTCTGTGCTGAACTCTTTCCCACAGTCTTCCATGTCAATAGCTGCGGTGGAATAGCTCTTTTCAATTCCACACCGAATCCTTCAACACACAGAGAAGGACCCACCCCATTATTTTCATTGGAATCCACAATGTTTATGCTTTCAAAATAATAATGGAATAAGTCGATCAGTTTAACTACCACTGTGAGAATATAGTCCCACTCAGTAACACTCTCTCTTGACTGTGGCGTACAATATCCACCCTGGTCGACACACACCCTACAGTGGTGTTTGCATTGCTGGAGGTTGTTCAGCACTCATTACCCTGGGTCCTCTCCAGGCATCACCTCATCATGTGTATGTTCTTTAACAGTGATATCAATCTCTTGTTAATTGAACAAAACTCCATTCTCTCTTTTACTTCTACTTTTTTTTCTCATTGTATTTTTTTGATTTTCTATCGACTGTAGTGTCACTTCTGCAACAAGGCACAATGAATGAAAAAAAGAGTAGAGATACAAAACAAACGAGAGAGTGCAGTAACTGGCTCAAAAAACATTTAAACAAACCCTCACTGATTACCAGCCGATCTGAAACCACAATCGGCAATAATACCACAGACATCAGAAAGAGAAAAAACAATGATGAACGAACGTTACATGAGAGTGTGAATATGGAGCGTAAGTCTCATTTTGTCGCCCATATACAGTGATTAACTGGCCGAAGTATAATTTCCTACGGGGGAGGAGCAACGCAATTAAAAAAACGAGTCACTCAAACCAGTATAAGCGTTGTCAGAACGGAAGACACCAACACCCACAATAACGAAGACATTAGTACTTTTCGAGTTTATTACTTTTGTGGAATGCGTAGGATATCTTTAAAAAAAAATGCTATTTACCCGCACGCACAGGGTCTCTCCCCAATATATTTTCTTTTCAATAATCAATATTAAAAATTGTGCCTATTTGCCCTTTTTTATTATTATCACTTTACATAGCAAGGATGTTACCCCACTCTCACAGCGTTGTGGCTTGTAGAAATGTACATGAGTCGTTTACCGAAGCGGTTAAATTTTCTCTCTCTCGTTCTTTTTTCTTTCCACTGCAAGAAGATAGGGAGAGACACCACAAAATATGGCTTTGTATAACAAATAGAACTACCGCGTAGACCGATGGGCGATGTCAACAACACACTTGTTATCCGGACACCACTTCATGGCCCTTATATAGGAACCAAGAGGTGCAAAAGAACTCATGCCTTTCTCTCCACTTTTGTACCCTATTTCCAAAGCAACAAACAAATTCCTATTGAAGTAGGTTTACTGTATTAAATGTTCA